GGAAGTAGATTGCCCCACCTTCCTTCTGAGGAGTGGCTGGTGAGTTTGAACCGCCAGCCTTCTGGTTAGCAGTCAAGTGCCTTAGGCACTATGCTACCAGAGCTCCTTTCATTCTCACTAGGATAATTTAAAAAAAAAATTAAAAATGTTGGCAAGGATGTAGAGAAAATGGAACACTTTCTCATTGCTGGTGGGAGAAAAATGATACAGCCGTTGTGGGAAACAGTGTGGCAGTTCCTTAAAAAACTAATAGAGAACTACTGTATGACCCAGTAGCTGCTGAGGCTGATTATGTAACAATGAAAAACCTCATAGGATTTAGTTTCTTGGTTTGGAGGTTTAGAGTCTTGGTTTCATGGGACATCCAGTTAATTTGCCTAATAGTATGTTTGTTTTGTTGTTGTTATGTGCCGTCGAGTCGGACCCGACTCATAGCGACCCCTCCTTGGGGTCGCCCCATCTTCCTTCTGAGGAGTGGCTGGTGGGTTTGAACCACCAGCCTTCTGGTTAGCAGTCAAATGCCTTAGCCACTACGCTACCAGAGCTCCCAATAGTATGTTTAGTGCCTCTGTTCTACCTCCTACTTGATACATAGTTTGCAAGCGGCCATCCAAGACACAACAATTAGTCTCTAATCACTTGGAACAACGGAAGAAGAAGGGAGAGTCAGTGGCTAATTGCCTCCATGAACAACTCTCCTTTACCATGAGACTAGAAAAACTAGGTGTTGTCCGGCTACCATTACTGAACCTTTTGATCAAAGACTCCATAGAAGAATAGTGAGCAAAAGGGGGGAAATAAAGAACAAAACTACAAATTTCATGGATTCCAAACTTTCTAGAGCCATGAAGGTTGGATGAATGCCAGAAACCACTGCCTTGAATTAATCTTTAAAACTTAAACCAAAAATAATTTAGCTTACTTAGTAAAAAAAAATGTCTGCCTTGAGCATTATGCTCTTCTAAGAACCATCTATATGAGATGAGGAACTCTGGTGGTGCAGTACCTAAGGCACTTTGACTGCTAACCAGACGGCTGGTGGTTCAAACCCACCAGCCACTCCTCAGAAGGAAGGTTAGGCAATCTACTTCCATAGTGATACCACCTCAGAAACCCAAGGAGGGGTCATACGTCGGATCCAACTCAACCTCAGTGAGTTTCTATATGGGATCAAACTGACAACAGGAACTTGAAAGATTAGATAGGAACCTTAGGGAGCATTGAATTTATGTTAATGGGAAGAAACAACTCTGAAAAAGGAGAGTGAGAATGGCTGAACAACTCGAACAATGTAATCAGTGTCACTAAATAGTATGCCTAGAAACTGCTGAATTAGTGTATGTTTTGCTGTGTATGTTCTCAACAATAAAATAAGTAAAATTATGTATATAGATGTATGTATTATTAGATAGATTGATATAAAAGAAGTACAGCCAGAATGCTTCTTAGAAATGAAGATGGCAAGACTCCATCTCATACTTTGGACATGTTCTCAGGAGGAACCAGCCCCTGCGGAAGGACATCATGCTTAGTGAAAAAGAAGAAGACCTGAATGAGATGGACGGACACAGTGGCTACAACAATGGGCTCAAACATAGCAATGACTGTGAAGATGGCACAGGACTGGGCAGCATTTAGTTCTGTCATAAACAGGGTCGCTGTAAGTCAGAACCAACTTGACAGCACCTAACAACAACATCAGTTAAACAAACTAATAGCTCCTGCTGAATAATATCAGGCTGCACCTGCATTGTATCAGCCATGCCCATCAGAACCTTTAAAAGTCTTTCTCAGGCCCAGCATTCTCACACCTTCCTAAGGACCAACCATCATAGTGTGTCCTTGGAGTATGAGAGGGATATATCAGTGTGGTTGCAGCAGGCTGTCCACTAAGTTCCCTTTGTGCCTAAATAAATTTCAGAACAAGAAGAGAGGACTTCTAGTTGTTATTATTACAACAGGAAGTCAAGTTTGAGTTCACCTAATGCCTTAAATACTGGATTTTCCCATGTCTAATAATCATAGAGACAGAAAACATTATGCAGTTACCTGCATAAATCCTGTTTCTGTCCCACATCCAAGCATCTTCCCTTTTTCTTGATTTGTTAATGGAATTGGGTTTGTTTCTTACTCTTTTTGCCTTTGATGGGGATACACCTAGTTTATTTTGCTCTTCGTTCTTCTTTATGAGTGCTCTACAAAAGATTTTTCAGAATCTGTAGACTTTTCAAAGAATTGTTACAGAAACGGACCACTGTTTCCAAGGTAGGAAATTTATATTAGCAGATGCTAGAATTGGTTGGGCAATCCTACTTCCGTAGTGATACTGCCTCGGAAACCCAAGGAGGGGTCGCTATGAGTCGGGGCTGACTCGACGGCAAATAACAACAACAACAACAACAGAATTATGTTTGGCCTTAACTATGCATTACACCTCAACATAAAGAAAACAAAAATCCTCACAACTGGACCAATAAGCAGCATCCCGATAAATGCATAAACATTGAAACTGTCAAGGATTTCATTTTACTTGGATCCACAATCAATGCCCATGGAGGCCACAGTCAGGAAATCAAACAACATATTACACTGTGCAAATGTGCTGCAAACGACCTGTGTTGAAAAGCAAAGATGTCACTTTATGGGCTAAGGTGCACCTGATCCAAACCATTGTATTTTTATATGTACACAAAAGCTGGACAATAAATAAGGAAGACCAAAGAAGAATTGATGCCTTTGAATTATGGTATTGGCGAAAAATACTAAATATACACTCTGGACTGCCAGAAGATCCAACAACTCTGTCTTGGGAGAAGTACAGCTAGAATGTTCCTCAGAAGTGAACATGGCGAGGCTTGTGTCACTTTGGACATATCAGGCCCTGGAGAAGGACATTATGCTTGGAAAAGTAGAGGGTCAGTGAAAAAAATGGAAGACTGTCTGTGAGATGAATTGACAGCGTAGCTGCAACAGTGGACTCAAACACAGCAACGATTGTGAGGGTGGCGCAAGACCAGGCAGTGTGTTTGTTCTTTTGTATCTAGGGTCAGTGTACAACAATGAGTCAGAACTGATTCAGTGGCACCTAACAAGAACAGAATTGTGCTGAGCTAGGAAGATGTTAATCTATCTGAGCATAATTCTAGCTTCTACTAAATATAAATTTCCTACCTCAGAAACAGTGATCTTTTTCTTCAAAGGAAAATTGTTAGAAAAAATTTTGGTAGGTCCTGGAAAGCTTTTTCACAATTTATTCCCTACACACCGGTGTCATTTTCAGTTTTTAATCACTTGATTCTTTGGTATATAAAATTTTCCTATTACCCTGGGTAGCAAATGTGCATGCAAAAAATATCCTTTATTTCCTTTTCTATTTTTGCCTTTTGTTTAAATGTTACTTTCCTTGCTGCTATATGGGAAGGCTTCACATTTTATAGGAAGCTTACAAAAATAAGTGTTTGAGGGATGCTTTTGTCATGTACCAAAGATCAATTATGGTATTACTACTCTGGGAAAGCCAACTAACATTTTGCTGGACACCTGGCTTCTAATCTGTTTCTCTCAATTGATACCTGACCTGAGACAAGTCACTTGACCCCTCTAGGTCATACTAAGGAGCTCTGGTAGCATAGTGCCTAAGGCACTTGACTGCTCACCAGAAGACTGGCAGTTCAAACCCACCAGCCACTCCTCGGAAGGAAGGTTGGGCAATCTACTTCCGTAGTGATACTGCCTTGGAAACCCAAGGAGGGGTCGCTATGAGTCGGGGCCGACTCGACAGCAAACAACAACAACAACAACAGGTCATACTAAAAAATGTATGGTAAGAAAGAACATGGTTGCTGATGTACCTTCCAGATTTTAAATTAAAAAAAAAAAAAGAATTTTGTGTAAAATGCCTTCTTAAAAGTAACATTTATCGAGCGCTTACTATGTGCCACATGGTCATGTTGATGATACCACTTAACCCTCAAACAATTCTGAATTAAGTTTTGTCTTTAGAAAGTTTTTTAAATTTTTATTGTGGTGAAATATATTTAACAAAACTCTTGTTAACCTTTTTAACCATTTGTACGTGTACAATTCAGTGACATAAATCATATTACCTATTTTGTGCAACCTAACGACCCCTCCTTGGGTTTCTGAGGCAGTATCTCTACAGAAGTAGATTGCCCAATCTTCCTTCTTAGGAGTGGCTGATTTTGTACAGGCATCATTACTATCCATTTCCAAATTAACTCTGAGTATTTTTATTACCTTCATTTTTCAGAAGAGGAAACTGGGAATTCGTGAGGATAAGTAACTTGCCCACGGTCACAGAACTAGTAAATGCTGGTCCAGGATTCAAACCTCATCATCCTAGCTCTCAAAGGAGCCCTGGTCGTGCCATGGTTAAAGAGCTCAGCTGCTAACCAGAAAGTTGGCAGTTCTACCCACCACCGACTCCTCAGGAGAAAAGCCCAGGCAATCTGCTCCCATGAAGATTTCAGCTAGAAGACCCTATGGGGCAGTTCTGCTCCGTCCTATAGAGTCACTAGGAGTCAGAATGAGCTCGATGGCACACGACAGCAGGAACAGTCTGGCTCTCAAGTGCTAGCTCAGGAGGTCTACTCTCTTGTAAAAGTATAAATTATCCTTCAGTGATGGTCAGAGGACTCATGTGCTTTTGTCTTCTTGTCTTTCAGGAGACACAATATTCATTATTCTGCGGAAGCAGAAGCTGATCTTCCTGCACTGGTACCACCACATCACTGTGCTCCTGTACTCGTGGTACTCCTACAAAGACATGGTTGCCGGGGGTGGTTGGTTCATGACTATGAACTACGGCGTGCACGCCGTGATGTACTCTTACTATGCCTTGCGGGCAGCGGGGTTCCGAGTCTCCCGGAAGTTTGCCATGTTCATCACTTTGTCCCAGATCACTCAGATGGTCATGGGCTGCGTAGTTAACTACCTGGTCTTCTCCTGGATGCAGCAGGACCAGTGTTATTCTCACTTTCACAACATCTTCTGGTCTTCACTCATGTACCTCAGCTACTTTGTGCTCTTCTGCCATTTCTTCTTTGACGCCTACATCGGCAAAATGAGGAAAACAACGAAGGCTGAATAGTATTGGAACTGAGGAGGAAGCCGTAGCTCAGGGTCATCAAGAAAAAAAAAAATAGACAAAAGAAAATGGCACAAGGAATCACATATGGTGCAGCTAAAACAAAACATACGAGCAAACACAAAACCCAAGGCAGCTTAGGGAGAATTAGGTTGACATAACCCAGTAAGTTTATGATCCTTTTTTGGTGAGGACTCACTGAGTTCACCTCCATCTCAAAGGACTGCTGCTGGAAGACCCCATCCCCTTGTATCTGTCAACTCTAGGACAAATGAGAACAAAAGTGAGCCTGAGGCAGAGAGAGAGAGAAACATAAAGCAAACAAAGGTTATTAACACGATATGAAATGTATTTACTAAGTATTACACTTCACTAAGGATGAGTTTTACTTAAAACAGTGTGAGCACACATACTCATACAATCCTTCTATTTCTGTTTTTCCAACACTAAACTGGAACCTATAGAAAAGATAAAAATGGAAGAGACACAGGGTGTATATCTAGAACAATAAATGCTTTTGCAAAACATGCAAACCTTTTTAAGAAAGGTTAGCAGTGATAGCCTCTCCCGCCCAGAAAAAAATGTCTTAGTCACCTCTTCTGAAAATGGATGTAAACAATGATATTTCAACTAAGAGAAAGACTGATAATTTCCCCTCACTGTGCAGCCTCAGGCTAGTGAGTCTGCCCAAACCAAAGGGGGAACGATACTTCTCCAAGGTTCGTCCTGGGAGGATAGATACACTGCCGCCCAGTTCTCAAAGGGGCAGCTCTGTCCTAGAGCACTGCTGATAGCTGAACTGCAGTTTCTGCTCTTAAATATGATGCATTAGCCTTTGTCCAGTCGGCCCCCAGGCTTTTGAACAGATGAATACAGAATAGAGAAGATAAAAATTTGATTAAAAGAATTCAACAAATGATCGGCAAATGGATTCTGTACTGTCTGCACAAACCTTTTCTGTAGAAAAGGTTTGATGCAATACTATTCCTGATCTGAGAAAAGGGAAAAGGCAGTGGGGAAAAGAGGTACGGTATAAATTCTATTCAACAGACCGTCAATACATTTACTCTTCTCTGACTTCACACGTATGCATAACCTTCCAAATGAAACCCTGTGATACAGTCCATAGTTTCTATATTTTTGTGAATTAAAAAAAATCTGCAGGGCTCTTTCTGACATGCGTGAACACTGTGTTTCTGCATCATCTGCATTTGCTTCCCAAGCAATGTAGAGGTGTTTAAAGTGCCCTCTGCTGGTCAAGTGGAGATACTTCAACAAACACTTCATGGCAAGTTTGGCTGAAACAGTTGACAACAAAGGGCCCCCTATAGACTTACTATAGTTTTAAATGAGATAAAATATTCATCGTTTTTTGACCAAATCAGAAGACATTCTGCTCCAAGTCTGCTTCAGAAATTTTTTAAAAGGGATTTTCGCTCTGGAACTCAGAAAATCAATTTATTAAGAGCCATATTCTTTAAAAAATAAAAAAGCTAGATTATATTATCTGTAATATTTCAGTCCTTTGCAAGCCAAATAAATGTGTAAAATGTTCCTAGTATTTCAAAGAAGCAATTATGTAAAGTTGTTCAATGTGAATAATAGTATTCTAATTGGTTAAGTAGCTTAATGATTAGACAAACTAGATGAAAAGATTAGGGGCTACTACACTGCATAGATTATACACGCATAACCACACATATATGCACACAGATGTGGGGTACACAGAACTACAAAGCCCAAATAAATAGAAACACATTTTCTGGCTAGCATAAAAGAAATTTGTCTTCTTGCTTTATTTGAGAGTGTACAGTACAAGGGATTTTTCAAAATTATTTTTATATTATTTTAGCTTTAATTGTGTTGTCATTCATGAAACAGAGCTGCTCTGCTTTTCTGTCAGAGATGACAAGGGCTTTTCAGCATCTCGCTTCTGTGTGGAATTTAAAAAGAATAAAGTTTTATTCCATTCTATGTGAATGGCTTGAGCAATGAACAAAGAATCCATGTTAACCAAGTCATGGCTGGTAGACCTGGGGGAAGCTGTGACCAGAAGGGGAGCTGTTATATCTGTGCTAAATTATTGTGAATAGTCTGTGATGGTTTCTTGTGGGTTCATGAGTGAGAAACAATTGATGGCGAAATGTACTAATATGGGGAGAAAAGTTGACATGAGGTGAAAATACCAGTCCTGTGATAAGAAACAACTAATAGATTCTTAGGATTCAACTAATGTTATTTTGTGCTTTGAAAAATACACGATACTGTGCAATATGCTTTTTTTCCCTTATAACAGAGAGTAAGCAGAATAATTAAAATGAGGAAAAGGAGAAACAACAGCTGGTTGGAGTTTAATTGAGGGAAGAGTTAGAGGCTCATCTAGTTGATTTCATTATTTAATTCAGTGATTTGTCATTGATCCTTTAATGCAAGTTTGAAGAAGGAAATGAGCAGAAAACTTAACTGGATCCCAAATGATGGTTCCAGAGCATTTCCATCTTGGTAGTGGTTTCACAATTGTGAAATGCTTTAGGATTTGTGTTTACATGTTGAACATGTAATAAGTTGTTTTTAAATTAACTAAATTTATCTAAAAGCATTTCCGAAGTTTTTCATGGGAAGAAAAAGAAAACTCATTTTAAAACTCAAAATTCTGGTATGACAATTTCAGTGCAATGTTTTGAACATCTCAACTGCTTAATTATATCAAGATATGAGGCTGAATCACTAGCCCATGGCAAATCTGAAACCAACCAGAGAAATCAACTGCCACATAGATAATCCTATTGTCAGTTAACATTCCAGAAAAACTGGGCCAGGCCAGTTTTTATAGCTGTCCCACTATGCTGCAATAGATAGTCTTTCCATTGAAGATGTCCCACTGTATTCCAATCCCAGTGTGGTGAAAACATCATTCCTGAATAAAAATGAACCCTGGCTTCATATATATGTACATGCAGTTTTATACTCTGGTTCTGAGCATCAACCATGAGCTCCAGTTGAGTGAGAAATACTATAGAGCAGGGGGATTTATCTGGATCTTCTGGTTTGGTTATGAAAAAAAGAACAACTACGACATTATTCCTACCCAAATCCAGGTCCAGAGTAACAAATGAAAATCATGGGTTGAAGTTATTATTCCAAAAATGTATTCCCATCCTTCTGACCACCCTCCACTATAAAACTGGGAGAAGGGGAGAGTGAGGAGGAATATATACGTATATGTTGCTTGAGAGGAAAGCAAGAATTGTTCTTTTTTCCCTTTACTTCTTCACTTCTCTTTGCTGATCTAGCTCTGGACTGAGTCAGAAACTTCATTTGAATGGGCTTTTGTGTAATCTAATGGAAAGACAGTAAGAACCTAAGAGAGTGTTTCTAGGAAGGAAAGCCACAGAATAGTTTTAAAAATCAGATGTAGTACCTTCATGATAACATAATACCTATCACATCAGAGAACAAAGAAAGCAACTGGAGTCAATTACACTGGAGTAGAACATTCCAGGCCTAAGGCACTTGACTGCTAACCAGAAGGCTGGCGATTCAAACCCACCACCCACTCCTCAGAAGGAAGGTTGGGCAATCTACTTCCGTAGTGATACTGCCTCAGAAACCCAAGGAGGGGTCACTATGAGTCGGGTCCCACTCGACGGCACATAACAACAGAACATTGCAAAATCCTAGCCTTGTTTCCAGACTCCTGAATTACCTGGAAGAGAGAATATGGTCAGGCTACGATCCTAATTTTTTTTTTTTAATAGAACAGCCTCTGCTTAATCACTGTGAGCTCTGGTGGCTTAGTGCCTATGGCATTTGACTGCTAACCAGAAGGCTGGTGGTTCAAACCCACCAACCACTCCTTGGACTTGGAAGGAAGACTGGGTAATCTACTACCGTAGGGATACCATCTTGGAAACCCAAGGAAGAGGGGTCGCTATGAGTCGAATCGACTTAATGGCAGTGAGTTGTTTTTTTGTGTGTTTTTTTAATAATGTGGCATACAACTAAGTCAACTATAGCACAAGTTAAGGGCCTTTCTTTTCCAGCTTGGTCAGTGATTCTTTAACACATTAGTTGGACTGGCCATCTGCTGATTCAAGACTGCTATTAGAAGTGTGAAGACGGAACAGACCTGGCTTCCCAGAGTTCAGCACTTTGAGTTGTAAATTTGTATTGGTATGGCCCATCCTTTCTCTTTTAGATACTTATTTCTCTGAAAAGTTTCCATCTTCAGGAGGACAGTTGTGAGAATTTCATGATGAAAACCCAGAACTTTCCAGTGGTTGAAAGGAAAATAACTTCCAATCTTTTTGTTTTGATAACAGACATTTTACTATCAATTTGAAATAGTACATTATGGGAGGCTTTGTTAATGCTGTGAGACTTGTTTCAAATATGTAAGACCTGATTCTTTGTGCCTCAGATCATTACAATATGAAAGAGATTTTGCTGAGAATTTACCACAGAAGTTGGCCTGTAATGTGTACACATTAAATTGAGAACTGGTAAAGCTATGGTACCCTTTCTTTGTGTGGACAATCAGGATGAAGTGCTAGCTAACTAGGTCCCAGTTTGCCAGTGAACCAAGAGCCTTTGTCTGTTCAGACCAGGTACTTTAAGCAAAACAAGTATCAGTGCAGTGAGAGCATTTTCCTCAACACAAGTTGTTTGTTTCAGGCTCCAGTTATCAACCTCCAAGGGCCACATGACAGAATCCATAACTGAAGAGGCCATTTTATACACCTATGCAGAGCATTGAAGAATATCCACAAGCCTGTTGAATCATCAAGTTGCTTTCCTCATCCTCAGACACATTTGAAAATTCAAGGCAGCTCCCCAGGCTCTTCTGCTAGACTTTCCTCCTTCTGAATTACACTTTTTATTTTATTTTTCTTAAGTGAAATAGAAATTATCCTAGCATTAAAGAGATGGACAGTGGAAAGGCATCAGTGTGTGGGGGTTTGGAGAGGTCTCAAAAATGGCACTTTAATTTTAGGTGAGGAAGC